TGTCCTAACTTCTGAATTTTTGCCATTCTGTCTGGGATCACTTTCCTTTGCCCTGAAAACCATCCTTTCAAACAACTTTCGTGCAGGTCTACTAAGAACAAGTTTTCTAGTTTTTCTTTGTTTGAAAATATAGTTACTTTGTCCTTACTTATATTAATTTTTTTCTGAATGTAGAATTTTAAGTGAGTGGTTATTATCTTTCAGCATTTTGGTGATGCTATTTCCATCATATTCTGACTTATTGTTTCTGTTAATAAGTTACATATACAGTAGTCTTGTTTTTTATCCTTTAAGGTGATGATTTTCTTTCTCAGATTATATTTAAGATATTCTGTTTGACTTTGGCTTTAAAAGTTTCAGTCTGATGTTCTTCAATAGGCTTTTCTAGTATTTACCCTTCCTGGTTTTCTTGGAAATTGCTGAATTTATGAATTGATGTCTTTTTCAGCTTTGGAGAGTCTTTCAGCCATTATCTCTTGAAATATTGTTTCTCCCTCTATTCTCTTTCTCCTCTCATGTTAGGGTTCAATGAATACATAAGCAAAGACTATTTCACTATGACTAAAATGTCCTCTACATTCTTTTCTCAATACTGAGGTCTTTTCATCTCTGTAGATAGAGAGCAGATATTTTCTACTCTCTCATTGTCTTTTCAGCAGTCTTCTTTTATCATACATCTAAATTAGCTGCAAATCCAATTATTAAAGTCTTAATTTCAGTTGCATTTTTTCTTATTTTTCATTTTTAGACATTTATATTTTTATTTTCATTGTTTACATTATTACAGATGTCCCCATTTGTCCCCCATGCCCACCTCCACCCAGCCCTGGCCTCCCCTTCTCTCTGGCCATCACCACACTGTTGTCTGTGTCTAAGAGTTGTACATACAAGCTCTTCGGCTAATCCCTTCATGTCTTCCATCCAGTCCCCCCTCCTCTCTGACAGCTGTCAGTCTGTTTCATGTATCTATGCCACTGTCTCTATTTTGTTTTTCAGTTTATTTTGTTCATTAAATTATACATATAAGTGATATTGTATGGCATTTGTCTTTTTCTGACCAGCTATGTCACTTAACATAATAATCTTCAGGTCCATCCATGCTGTCCCAAAAGATAAGAGTTCCTTTTTCACAGCTGTGCAGCAGTCCATTGTGTAAATGTGCTGCATTTTTTTCATCCATTCATCTACTGATTGCTACTTAGGCTGTTTTCAGATTGTAAATATTGCTGCTATGAACATAAGAGTACATATATTCTCTTAAATTGGTGTTTCAGGATTCTTAGAATATATTTCCAGAAAAGGGATTGCTGGATAAAAGGCTGTTTTATATTTAATATTTTGAAGAAATTCTATACTCTTTTTATAGTTTATATTCAATGTTATTTTGTATTAGTATAAGATGTACAGCATAATGTTTAGCTAATCATATGTATACAATGTTTCCACTGATATTTCCAGTACCTACCTGATACCATACAGTTATTGCAATATTAATGACTATATTTCCTATGTTGTATATTATATCTTTGTGTCTATGGTGTAACCCACAATTAGTACTTTTAATCCCATCACCTTGTTCACTGCCCCCCACCCCTCAATTCTGGCATCCATCAGTCCGTTCTATATCTCTATGAGTCTGTTTCTATTTTGCTTATTTTTTCTTTAGATTCCACATATAAGTGAGACCACATGTTATTTGTTTTTCTCTGTCTGGCTTATTTCACTTTGTATTATACTCTCTAGGCCCAGCCACCTTGGTGTAAGTGGTAAGATATCTTCTTTTTAATAGCTGAGTAATATTTTATCATATAGTTGTACTGCATCTTTATCCATGTGTCCATTGATGGACACTGGGGTTGCCTCTGTAGCTTGGCTATTGTAAATAATGCTGCAATGAACATAGGAGTGCATATACTCTTTCAGATTAGTGTTTTGGGTTCCTTTGGATATGTATTCTCAGTCATATTTTCAATTGTATTTTTCAACTCAAGAATTTTCATTGATACTTTATTTTTTAGAAGATTTTATTTATTCTTATCAAGAGGAGAAAGGAAGAAGAAAGAGAGGGAGAGAAACATTAATGTGTGATTGCCTCTTCCAAGGGCCCCTACTGGGGACCTGACCCGTAACCCAGGCATGTGCCTTGACTAGGAATCAAACAGGCGACCCTTTGGTTCACAGTCCGTGCTCAGTCCACTGAGCCACACCAGCCAGGGCTCAATGATACTTTTATAAATGGTACTTCTCTTCTGAAATTCTCCTTCTTCTGGTTTTGAATATGTTCATCAAAATTATTTTAAACTTCATGCCTAATAATTCTATATCTGAGTTTCTTTAATTATTAAATTCTAGACATTGCATTTTAAAAGTTATAGAAGTTCTGGTTCCTTTTTCTCAGTGGCAGGATTTCTGATTGCTTTTGTCTGGCAGCTAAAATGGAGCAGAGCACCCTAGCTCAATCAGGGATTAAGCTCATTTTAGTCTAGGGAAAGCAGGTTCTATTGATAGTCACTGTTTTCTTTTGAAACACAGACTTCTGGGGCCCCAGCTGAAAGCAAAAGGCAGTTACAGGAGCTCCTCCCTGCATCTTGGCAGGCCCTGCCTTCCCAGCACTATGAGACAGCTAGAAGGCACTTCTTGGCTTCTTCAAGTTACTACTGATCACTTTCTAACTGATGTCTCACGAAACCAACCTCATGCTGCTTTTGAAAGGCAAACCTCTGAAGGGGAAAAGTGGTGCTGCACAATTCATTTTTTGAGTTTTCCTGGATGCCTGATGGTCCCAAATTCCAATTTTTGTCTTTCTAGCTATGTGAAACTGCTAAAAAATCAACTGAGCTTCCCTCCTCCTTAACCCTCACCTTTGCTCTGCTTTTCAGACTCTCTCGTGGTTCCAGTTTCTAATCCACAAATGTTTTGATGGGAAAGAAGTGCAGAATATTGTGTTCCCTCATTGTGTTTTCTCACCTTTCAGGACATTGATCTCTCAAGTTCCGTTTGCCCTGATAATTATCTCGTTCCTTGAAACAGATGTGTAAGAAATTATCCATATTTCACATTGGCCTTGGTAGGAGCATTGATCAGATTTATTGGAATAGAATATGTTTTTCTACTGCTTTGGAAATTCACCCTTTCCTATAGTAGCATTTGTCTGACTACTGCTATACCTGTAATCTTCAGTTTCAATGATTAAATTTTAATGATTCATTTTACCCCTGGTGGTTCAAATACCTTTTCAATACTCCTCTTTGTCAGTTTTGTCTCGGAGTTCACATCAGCATTTCTTTGCCCACGGTGTCAGAAGTGATTATGATCAAGACCGAAGTGGGCATGGTGGGGATGCAGAGCAGAGTGAGAGATACGGAGTATCGCCATCTCCAGTGCATGAGGGTTTTGGAGGCTGGGGATGGCACACCCCATGATGCAGCCTTCTGGCTCGGCAAACTAAGAGAATGGCAGTGTCCTTAACCATGACTGGGAATATAAGAGAAGCAGATTGTAACAGAAAGGATCATCTGTTGAAAGAGCAGAAGCAAGGGTAGAATAGATAATTATAAAAGATTGGTGATATTTTAAAATGACTTCTTTAGCTAGTAGTATAGAAAGTTGACTTATCAATATAAAAAAATTGAGTAAAGTCCAGTATGGATGAGATGTCAAATGAAATCTGTGGAGGCACCAGTGCTAACAGATGTATGATTTTAAGGAGCCTTGCACAGGAGCCTTTCTCCTGTATTCCACTGTGTGTCGTACGCTGTTAGGCTTTACCCAGTGCTTGCAGGCAATTAAGGAGCCTAAGCTTGGAGAGGGGGGTGCAGAAGGCAGAGCAATCAAGTTTGGGAGACTTTAGGGCAAAAAAAAAAAATGCAAGTGAGAATATAGAAGCTACCAGTGAAAAAACTAATGACACGACCCCATAAATTCTAGTCTTGTGAAAAAAGAAATGAATTCAGGCAGATTATTGCAAGTATCGAGTGTGCTCATAAGAGCTGCAGAAGTTTTATAAGCTCTATATCAAAGTAAGGTAGTACTATATTTTATTACTAGGTCATTTATGTGAAGGATATGATAGAGCTGTGATGAGAGCTGACCCTCTCTATTCTGGCCATGTTCTCTGCATCCTAAAGATAAAACAGTTGCTAGACAGAGAGTTTGTTTAGATGCAGCTTCTTAGCATCCTTCACTTCTATCTATACCAAATAGTCTTCCCTTCTTCCCCCTTAAAGAGACTTAGAAAATATCACTCTGAATTGTATAGTCTAGCTCTAAATACAAAGGATGGATTTTTAAGATTTGTTTTTATAGGATCAGAATTGCAGAATTTTAGCCTGGAAAGAAATTGTACAATCTATTTGACTCCTATGTGTTCTTCACTTGATAAATGAGACAAATAAAGAACAGCAAAGACAAGGCTTGACTAACATGTAAATCAAAAGCAGAGCTAAACTCAGGAAACCCAGGTTGCTCATGACAAATTTAGATACTCTCACTATAGTGTGGAGATTCATGTTAACTTACTGAATTAATTTACTGTATCACTTTGCATATTATACCCCTGCCCCACTCTCCTTTAAGATTCAGCAAAATTTTTATTGTGGATGAATAAAAAGTGGTTTCGATCCTTTCTCCACAGTATCAAATTTCTGAAAATTGCTGACACAAAGCACTTTCAGACCCAAATTTAATATAAAAGCACTGAGTATGCAAATAAGGCATAAAGGCAAACTTTAGAAATGAACTAAAGAGATAAAGAATCAAGATCAAGACTTGTTTAAGATTAGACTTCAGTCCTGCATTTCTGTTCTTTTCTTATAAGTCAAGGGAGTCAACAAGCACTTTGACCCCAAACTGCAGGTGCACACCTGGATTAGCAACAGTCACTGAGCTACTTATCAAACCTCACTTTCAGGGCAATGTCTGTTCAGACAAGCTCACCCCACCCCCATCCTGTTTTACTTCAGCGTCAGAAGGAAATGAAGCCACAACCAGAACAAAAAGAGCTCTAACACCTTTTGCCCCCTGCCTCCTCCTCCCTCCCCCCTCACTGTCCTCCCCACTTCTAGCTACACCACCCCAGCTGGGCTCTAATGTGATATCCCTGCCTGGCTGAGGGAGGGATCATGAGCAGGGTCTGCACTGACAGGCAAGTGACACCCAGAAGCCACAGGCTTCTGTAAGTACGAGGTCTGCGAGAGACCCAAGTCGGAGCAATGGCATTGTCACTGGAAGAATTTGTCCACTCCCTTGACCTCAGGACTCTGCCCAGGGTCCTGGAAGTCCAGTCAGGCATCTACTTTGAAGGTAAGCACCCTCTCCTGTCTGTTGGCTGGCTGCAAGTACTTATAAGGTGTATACTCTTGGGAATTTGAGGAAGAATTTTAATAGAACATGTATGAGTTCTGTTAAAGGAAAGGTGATCGTAAAAGAGAGAAAGTAATGGTCAAGACCCAAGAGTATTAGAGAAGAGAGAAATAGATAGGACTCAGGCAAATAGGGGACAGGAATTATGTGAAACTTCTTGAGTTTTCATAGCCTTCCAAATAGTACAACTCGAATGGTGAGTTATTTCTGCCTTTTCTTTGAAATTGGTTGTAATGCAAGACCGAAAAGTTTAGTTATCCATATTTATGTTTCTAGAATATAGAGAATAAAATTTCATTTTATAAAACAAAAATAATTATTAAAAGGGCGGTGTTTGGAAAGAAAAACTCAGTCAGCTCTTAACCACTTTTTGTGTTGCCTTAGTCAGTGCTTCTTACACCCTTTCTATATGGGGCCAAACTCCTCATTCTTTAAATGATGCCATCCTTATTTGAAGGTATAGAAATTAATGTTTTTTAATCACAGGATAGTTTTTAAAAATTCATGTTGAAAAGTCAGGATTAATGTGAATTATTGACTAGTAAGTTAACGTGTTTTCGTGTAATTCACTATGTTCATTCAGCAAAAGCCTGTTAAGGCCTAGAGATTCTTTAAGCAGTTAGTTTGGATAGATTAAAAAAAAAAAGAGGTGTCTTCTAGGCAAACATGTATTTCTTGTCATAATGGTGGTAGAACTGATGCAGTAACAAAATTAAATACAGTAAAACTACTAGGAAAGTAACTTAAAGAAGTGTTGGTAGATAAACCTGTCATAGAAAAAAGGTTTTAGATATTATATTATAAAAATAAAACAAAGATTGACAAATGTCAGATTCAACACACACACACACACACACCTGTTGATGCAAGCTATCATCAGCTTAATATTGGGTTTGTTTAATTCACTTGTATATTGATTTTATGGAATCAAAACACATTTTTCCATGTATACAATATTATGCAATATATCTTTGTTTACAAGTTAGCCCCCAGTCATTTTTTTGCTTCATAGTTTGTGCTATTGAGGCTTTTTTTTTTTTTTTTTTACTGTGACGCATAGCCTTTATTTCCTGGTAATTTAATTAAACAAATAGGTTTCAATTATGATACCATTAATATGGCACCTAATTGCTACCTAGGTGCTATGGCACCTAAAAGCATTATTATTTTTTTTTTAATTTTATTTAGTTATTTTTCAAGTACAGTTTTTTGTCTATTTTTCCCATCCCAGCCTCCCCTGCCCCTTGCTCCCCACCCCACTCCCATTTCCTCCCCCCCCCTTAGTTCTCGTCCCTGTGTCCTTCCTATTTGTTCCTCCAAATCCCTCCCCCTTTTTCCCCTTAACTTCCCTTCCTTCTCCCCTCTGGTCACTATCCCCTTGTTCTCTATTTCAGTGTCTTTGTTTTTTGGGTTGTTTTTTTTTTTCTGCTTACTTGTTTGTTTTGTTGTTTAGCTTCCTGTTAAAGGTGAGATCATATGGTATTTGTCTTTCAGCACATATAAAAAGTTGGTCTTTATTTCCAGGTTACCAAAATATTTTCCTACATTATTTTATATCAGTTTATCCATTTTGTAGTTCACATTCAGTTTTTAATTCATTTGGAGGACACTTTGCTCTAAGGTGCAGAGGGATCCAATTTTAGGTTTTTTCCATAAAATAAACCTGACCCGCCAGTACCATTTACCCAGCTAGCCATCCTTTCCCCTTTGATTTGTGTTGCTGCTTGTACGTTATATTTAAACTTGCATCTGGAACAATCTGTCTTGGAAATATCACTTATATACCATTAGTCTATTTTTTCCTCAGCTGTGCCAAGATCACCCTATTTTTGTAACTATGGCTCTGAAATGTGTTAATACGTAGTCCATGTATAGACCAATCCCTGCTTTTGCTCCTTTTATTTAACTTGACTTTAGCTATTCTAGATGGTTTTGAATATGTTCTTAAAGAAACCAGTCAGTTACTTAAGAAATTGAACTAGAATTTGTATTGGATTATATTGATTTTCCAATATTGACTTAGGAAGATTTGACATTTTGATATTAAGTCTTAGAAAAAAATATTGTATGTCTCCCCATATGTGCAGAGCTCTACATCCTTTAATACTTTACTGCTCTGCGATACTTCAATCAAGGGGGAAAAGTATATACGTAGAGGAATTTTTATGAAGGAACTACATTTATGTAACCACCATCCTGTCAAGAAATAAAAAATTACAAGTATTCTAGAAATCTCATCTTGTGCTTTTCCCTCAATCCTTTTCCTTTACCCTCCTCAAAGGTGATCAGTATCATAACTTTTGTTCATTTATGAACTTTATATAAATAAAAAATTATAGCATGTATCATTTCCTAATTGGCATATATGCTCAACATAATCTTTTAAAAATTAATCAGTGATGTTCTATATAGTTTATTCATTTCAATGTGTATAACATTTCATTGAATGAATATACACGATTTATTAGTGCATTCTACTGCTAGTGGACATCTGAATTATGTCTAGTATGGAGTTCTTACCAGTAACGTCATCACGAACATTTTTGTACATGTGCTTACACATGTATGTATATTCAGTCACGTATATAAACTAACAAAATTTCTATGTCATATGTATGTGTATACTCAGCTTTGGTGAATAATGAAAAACAAGTTTCCCTAGTAGTTATACCAATTTACATTGCTACCAGCAGTGTATGGGAGTTTCGATTAATCTATATCCCTGGCAACATTTGATGTTATCAGTCATTATAATTTAGTTATTCTTGAGTATAGTGTTGGTAGTTTGCATCTTCCTGCCTGGTGACTAATGAAATTAAGCACCTTTTTACACATATATTTACTGGCCTTTTGGAGATGCTGTTGTATAAAAACATTGTTCATGTCTCTTGACCATTTCTCCACTGGACTTTATAAACTTTTTTTTTTTTAATATTTTATTTATTTATTTTTCGAGAGAGGAGAAGGGAAGGAGAAAGAGTGGGAGAGAAATATCAATGTATGGTTGCCTCTTATGCTTCCCCAGCTGGGAACTGGCCTGCAACCCAGGCATGTGCCCTGACTGGGAATCGAACCGTGATACTCTGGTTCACAGGCCCGCGCTCAATCCACTGAGCTACGCCAGCCAGGGCTAAACTTTTTAATCAATTGGAATATATATATATTCCAACATATATATATGTACATGCTATATATACACTATATACATGCACTACACACACACACACACACACACACACACATACACTGGGATTTCTAACCCTTTGTCTGTTATCCATGCTGAGATATCTATCTCAGTCTATACCTTAATATTTCATTTTTTAAATGGTGTGTTTTGATGAAAGTTTTAATTTTAATGGTATTGTATTCAGTTTATAATTGCTTTCTTTTTATGTCTTGTCAAAGAATTTTTTTACCCCAAATTCATAAGAATATTTTCTCTTTTTTTAAGTTTCCAATTTCTTTTTTTTTTCAATTACAATTTACATTCAGTATTATTTGTATTAGTTTCAGATACACAGCATAGTGGTTAAACAACAATATACTTTATATAGTAGTCCTCCCATATTTCATTCACCCACCTGGCACCATGCCTAGTTAGTGCAGTATTACTGATTATATCCCCATGACTGTTTTGTGACTACCAATTGGTACTTCTCAGTCCCTTCATCTTTTCACCCAGTCTCCCAACCTTCCTTTCCTCTGGCAGCCATCAGTCTGCTCTCAGTGTCTACGACTCTGTTCGTATTTTGTTTGTTCTTTTATTTTGCTCTTTGGATTCCACGTATAAGTAAAATCATATGGTATTTATCTTTCTATGTCTGATTCAGCAAAATTCCCTCTAGGTCTAGCCATGCTGTTGAAAATGGTAGGATTTCATTCTTTTATTATGGCCAAGTTGTATATATATATATATATATATATATATATATATATATATATATATACAAACAAAATCTCACCATTATTTATCCATTTGTCTGTTGATGGGCACTTAGGTTGCTCTTCATAGCTTGGTTATTGTAAACAATGGTGCAATGAACATGAGAGTATATATTGTCTTTCAAAGTAGTGATTAATGTGTTGGGTTTCTTCGAATATATACCCATAAATGCAATCACTGGGTCACAAGGCAGTTCCATTTTCAATTCCTTGAGGAACCTCCACACTGTTTTCCATAATGGCTGCACAAAACCAATCTGCATTCCTACCAATAGTGCACAAGGTGTCCTTTTCTCCACATCCTCACTGACATTCGCTGTTTGTTGATTTATTAATGACAGCTATTCTGACAGGTGTGTGGTGATATCTCATTGTGGTTTTAATTTGCATTTCTCTGATGATCAGTGACAGTGAGCATCTTTTCATACATCTGTACATTCTCTCTGGAGAAGTGTCTATTCAGGTCCTCTGTCCATTTTTAATTGGATTGTTTGATTTTCTGGTGTTGAGTTGTATCAGTTCTGTATAAATCTTAGATATTAACCCTTAATTATAAGCAAGGATCTTCTCACATTCAACGAGTTGCCTTTTGTTTTGTCCATGGTTTCTTTTACCATGCAAAACTTTTTTAGTTTGATGTAGTCCCATTTGTTTATTGTGGAAGATAATTTCTTTCATTGTTTTTTAGTCTCTCCTTAAGATCTGCATCTACCTAGAAATTTTTTTGTTTTTGGATATGGTTTGAAGTTGAGATCAATGTTTACTTTTTTCTTCTATGGAGACAATTGTTACAGTAGTTTTATGGACAAACTGCCTTTTTCCTTCTCTCTAACTGCGTCATGTTAGCCATAAACAGTGTCCATACATGACTGGGACTCTTTCTATAGCTTCTATTCTGTTCCATTTATGTAATTGCTGTCCAGTCTCACCTTGTCTTAATTAATATAGATTTGCACCAATGTAATGTACAACTTATATTAAACATAATAATATGTGGC